TTCACAAAGTGCCTCGCGCACAATTCGTGCATACTGGAAACAAAGGAAAATGAAGGCGTGTGTGTGAGGGGGAAGAGAAAGATATTACAAATCACATGAAATGCCACAAGTCGTTGTAGGGTTTATCAGCAAACTACTTCCAGCATAAAATACAGAAAATGATTGTCAAATGACTCTGGAATTTGGCCTCAACTGTCACGCTGAAAATTGTTTTTACTGATAGCACTTGGAAATTCCATCACCATTTATGGAAACTACGACTACATAAATCTTTGGACAATCACGTCCTAATTTAGCCAAATGAAGGCCAAGTCTCAAATTAAAGCAGATTGTGATTTGTGTCTGTCATTTTCTCTCTTCTTTCTTATAAGACTGTCATTTTCTCTCCTCTCCCTCCAATTCAGGCCGTTAGAGCTCAGTAAAACAGATTAAAATGACCATTTTATGTGCAAACTAGAAATAATTTTAAACAAACCGGTAAATGATAGGGAGAAAAGAAGAGAGGATTGAAGCCCAAATTGTGACAACAGGCAAAAAGACTTGTTACAAGTAAACTACAATTCTCATAAGAAATATGAAAACACATGCGGATGCCTAAATCATGGCATATTGGAATGATTCAATGAAAGACCATTGTCTCACCGGATTGTTTTCGTATGAGTAAAGTTCCAGCATTTTGGGTGGTGGGTCTGGGCTCGCCTTTTCCCACAATGTCAATCCTCTGCCTGCTCGCAGAATTGTTGGCATCCATCCCGTGAATAATGTGCTACATGGAGCAATATTTAATATGAGAGAGAGAGAGAGAGAGAGAGAGAGAGAGAGAGAGAGAGGAGAGCCAAGGTTCAATACCTTTCCAAAAGCCCCACTGAAGGCTTTCTGCCTTTACCATATTGCTGGAATAGGTATTTCACAATTTCACCTGTAATCAAAAGTAATAAGGTTGCAAATAATACAACCTTGATAAAATAATTTCAAACAACGTAAGATAAAACATTGTGCGAGCCTTGTGCACTGGGTACGACCTTTTTTAACGTAAGATAAAACATGAATCAGCATAATGTTACAAGTTCAATGTACTTTTTTTTTTTTTTTTTTTTTAATCCGCTGTCTCCGGATCTTTGACCTGACTAATCACTAGGCTCCCCGCCTGACCCCACAACATTTGGGAAGCAAGAAACTCTAGCAATTGCTAGGTGGGTAGCTTGGGAGGTGTCGAACCCCAGACCTCCTGGTAACAAACCAAGGGCCTGACCACTAGACTAAACACTCATAGGTACAAGTTCAATGTACATTATTGAGCATAAAACTCTATGCAGACTTAGTTAAACTTCAAATACAGTGCAGAAAAACGCTCTCAATTACAACATTTAGCTACACTAAATGTAGATGTATTGATGTAAGCACTTGCTGATACTCCCCCAACGATGGGACTAATTATTGATTCTATACCATGTTAAAACAGAGAAGAAAAGAATGTAGGTGAAAAGAAAATGTAGAAGCAAATAGCTTGTCTAAGAAGATAAAAACCAAGAAGAAAAACCAAGAATTACGAAGTATGATGATGTTGCTCATAAAACCTATTGATTAAATGAACTTGACAATTGTTGAGGCGAAGTTTGGAGATGTTTTATTTACCTATAGTACAGAGCATTCAGATGAAATAGCTTTACAATTAAACCACCCATGCTAATCTAGAAGACAGTACAGCTTTACAATTGGTTACCACTTTCATACATGGAGTGCAATCTCTGTGTGTGTGTGTGAGAGAGAGAGAGGGAGAGAGAGAGAGAGAGACAGACAGACAGACAGAGAGACAGAGAGACAGAGAGACATACACACAGAAAGAGACCGGTATACAAAGAGATGGAGTGGAATCCATGTGAAACAAAGTTTAATAACTTACCGCTTTCATACATTGAAATACCAGTATTTGGATCAATGAGAAAAGGAAACCTGCATGAGAATATTCACAATTCCAGTTTCAAAGGAGATGAAGAGGCACTGCAACAAAAGCTAGTAGTAGCCATAATAATGACCTTCTAGGCAAGAAAATGGATGATACAAGCATGTTAAAGTTAAACAAAATAATAATACAGTCACGTTTGGTGGATTTAGTTGTGTTAAATATGCTCTCAGTTATCATCCGTTAGTTCCAATTTGAGATACATATAATAACCTGACCTCAATACAAACTTAGCTCCAATTAGACTTGATTCAACTTTCAGAAAATATAATCAGAAAGACAACAAAATCTTTCTAGATGGTATAAAGATTAAAGAAATGAGAATTGCATACAGCTCTTTGCCACCGAATCTTTTAACCATTTCTCTATGTCTTACCGAACCTTTTGGACAAGGATATACCTGCAAATGTGCGTTTACACTTGACATTTGAAAATCCAAATACCAACTAAGCATCAACAAGGAATAACCACTACGATTACTGGTTGAATTGATACGTGTTACTCACCTCTACAGAAAGATCGAGCTCAGTCAAAGCTTCTCTAACCCTCCTGCAAAAAGGGCAAGCCTCTGTTGACAAAACCAGTTCAGGAATTCAACAAGGGAAAGATTATATTCCACGATGAAGTTAAGTCAACAATGAAATAGACTGTACCAAACAGTAAGAACTAGTGTAGAAATATTCATATTGCCAACAAAACAATTGGCTTCTTAGTTCTTAGTCATATGCTAATCATGCTAATACACAAGTTTATAGCCTTTGATCGGTCCACTAAACAAATTTATACCATGTTTGGTACATTGGTAACCTCAATGGTGAAAATCGTTGTCCACAACACTAAAACTCCAAACAAAACAAAGCTACAATTACTTTATTTGTAGTCTTATAATCACAAAGAAAAGCTTACCAAATTCAAAAAGCTGCAAACGCAAAGGAGGATCCAAGGTAGTGATCTCCTGGCTGTCCATATTATTTGACAGAGATCTTGAACCCCAAGGGAATCTAGCCAAGGTAGACAACGAAGACGTAGCTACCTATTTTGAGATCCAAAACAATGGAAGTCAATTAGGATCAGCTAAGAGGTAAGTTGTTCACAGATATGCATATTCCTAATGAAAGATTATGGTTAGACACAAATCCATGGATGTTTACAACACCTATAGGGCAGAAAATCAAACACACACTGAAGGGAATCAAAAGCTGTGATGAAGTTATATTCCAATCCAATGCTATTAAATTGTAAAGTTACAGTCCAATGGTTCTTTAGCCACTGCAATTTCAATGTAGGAAAAAACGATCAATGTAAAGTTCTGTCATTGAGAAAGAATTTTTAAAGTGATTACCTCCAAAGTAAAGTTCCGTTCTTGAGAGGGATCTCCTCCCTGCACGAAACAAGACGAAAACAATGGTGAACAAATGCCAAAAGATCAACACAGCATCTCAATTTTGTATCATAAACAAGAGTATCAAATTGAGTTGTATGAACTTTGAAGAAGCAACAACAATTTGATAGAGCTAGTATCATAAACAAGAGTATCTTCACATTCAAGTGACATTAGTAATTAGCAAAAACTAGAGATAAAAAAAAGACCAACCCATACTAACAAAATCAATTAGCTATATGCCTTGCATGCATAGGTTTTGTTACACTATAGTGAAAGGAAAGGAAAAGAAAAGGATAGGAGAGACCGACGGAGAAGAGCTTGAGCAGGGGACAAAGCAAAGAGAGAAAGCTGGTTGATGGGTTGCCGCCATTTTCGCCGGTTGCCGATTCGTTTTGTGCGTCGGAGTCGGCTGAATTTGCTGGAAGAAATCTGTTTCTGCGAGGAACCCAGTTCCCATTTGTCAGCAATGTTGAAGAATATGGAGAGAGTTTGAGAGTAGAAACTGGAATTGAAGTGTTTGGAGTTAATGGAGAATTGTGGGCATGTGGGAGGAAACTGTGAGGCGGAGGCGGAGGCTTAGGCGGAGAAGGCGGCGGCTTGGAGGAAGAGTAGTAGACTAGTGTTTGAGAGCACGACGTCAGAGATGCTAGTGACATGTTTGGACCTTGCTTCTCTGCTGTTTCAGTTGAGTTGTTGCCTGTTGGGTGGTTACCAGCGCTTGCTTTTGCTTCGCAATCTTTAAAAATCTCTCTCCATCTTCGTATTCCTGAGAAAAAATTTTAATTGTGACGGAATACAATTGCTACATCATATGTTTTAATAGGAATAGTGAGAAATTTTATTGTTTTAAGTTATTAATTTTTTAGCACATATATCTCATTATTTGTATAGTAACACATGATGTACCATCTCATGTATCAGTCACATTGAAAAATCTCTCGTACAATCCTAGCGACGCTGTCATTGGTCACAAAACAACAACTTACATGCCACAGTATATTATCACGTGTGCCAACTAATGAAATAACAACAGAAGGAATACATTAAAGGAATTAGACATAAAGAAATTTTTTCCCATGGAGGATTAGAATGGATAAATTTTATTCTTGACTAATTCAATCCTCTATATCAAACCACGTTTCCAAAATTAGTTATTTTTATTGTTTTGTTAATAAACACAAATTATAACCATTCCCTTCAAATATGTTCTTTTAGTAAACACATGAAGGAAAATAACAATCATTAACAAAATTACTCCTTTTATCATGTCTTAATTCATCTAAACTACGAAGAAAACAACAACAAAAACAATTCGAACTTGAGTGCGCTTGCCAACTCGGTCAAATCAAAATCTGGCCGTTCCATAATTATTTGGTTTTTATTTTTTAATTTCTTAAAATGGAATTTACACTGTTTGACAATTAAAAATTGTTTTCGTTTTTAAGATTTTGATCTCATTAACTTTCTTTATTTCTTCCCCCTCATACCACCATCTTTTCATCTCGCATTACTCAGTTTATTTCATTTTCATGAACGAAATAATGTGAAGAAAAAAAAAAGGTCTATTTTTCGTTTGTTTGAGTCAATGGTGATTTATTTATTTATTTATTTTTCAAATAAAATTTATGGACCTATTTACCCTTATCATGTTCGTATCTCATGATGAAAAAGGGAACAAATAGTTAATTTTAGGGTACAATTAACAAACTAGGAAAATAGCTTTTGTACCACAAAACTCATGAACAATGCATGTCCGGAATAGACCAACTACAGAGAAGATTGCTGTTGAAGCAAACAATAAGGCCTTGCGAGAAAACAAAAACAAACCAGAACCAGAACCCGAACCCGAACCCGAACTTGAACTTGAAAACTTCCTTTTTTATAGTTTCAGCGAACGAAGTGCCGCGGATCTCTCCATTGATCAATCTACCATGAAAAAGCACTAGAGAGCTCAATTTTCGCATGCCACGCAAAAAGGGGGAAACCTACGTAGCAACCTCTGAAAGAAAGCATGTAAAGAGAGACACTGCCTCTTGCAAATGGCTCGAGCGATTGTCTTCAGGAATGGGAGCACTAAAAACAGTGTCAAAGCAACTTAATTGAACATCTCGTGTTGGTCCCTCGCCAATATCAGATAAAAGCAAATTGCATATCTCGTCCGCCATCTTCGAATATACTACCCTGTTTGGTAAATATGTAAATTTCATGATAACTGTAGAGCAAGCTACGACGAAAATTAAAATATCACAGTAATAACAAGAGTGAGTTGGCTTAATAAAACCAAACAATTTTTCTTTGATCCGTGCAAAAGCTCAGTCAAGGGTTGTTGAACGTACCTCACATCAATTGGTAACCTGACACCCCAAACAGCCAAAGACTGGTTTAACTGACCAAGAAATTCTCTACAAGCAGAATTTCTGCTTTCAAGTGAATCCTGCAGCATACATAACACAGTGCTGAGCACTCATTGGAAAAAGAAAGACCAAATACCAAATAACTACCCCAATTTATTCTCGAGTACATGGCATCGATTTGGGCCTAGAGTATGAGTATCCCTTTCACAAATATATTAAAACATAAAAAGAAAAGAAATATCATCATTTTCTAAGCCTTTTGACATCATAAAGATCCCGTTGCATTGAATCTTATCAATAGCCAATTGGGTATTTACTATAATGCAGGGTTGACTATCATGCAGATCTACAAAACATTTATAATCTTATCAAGTAGGATAAGCTGTCATACCATTTGATTCATGGTATCGTTCACATCCTGCAATGAACTTCTAATCGAATAGAATGAAATATAAATCCCAGCTCCGAGGTCCCAATTTTCAATTTCTGATTTGTGGTCCTCCATGGAAGTTGCAATTCTCCATATATCTGAGTGTTCGACTGCATTCAGAAAAGGAAAAACAAAATTACAAACCATATTAACTAAAGCAATTGAGGCCCAAATCTAGTGAGTGAATAGTTCATATATTCAAAATTTTGGGAACAAAATCAGTTAAAGGTACATCATCCCTAAACCAATCAACTACCTGCTTCTAAATTCAATAGGTCAAAGAAATAAACTGTTCAAGTTATATGCATATACTTAACAACAGAATGAAAAGTATACTTTGCTATAACAGATTCCTAATCAGTGCTTCAACTAGAGTACATCCCGAACTTAAGAAAGACATAATGAAACTAAATGGAAAGAGAAGTTATTAAAGTTATTAAACCATACCAGACAAGAATAATTTGGGAGCCACAGAAGTTACGAAAATAGTATGTGCTCTCTGCCAATTTGCACATTCAAGAAAGTGTTCAAGAGCCTTCGCAAGATCCCCATAGTAATTGAAATACACAGCCTGCAATCCAAGAAAAAAAAATCATTCAAACAGTAGAATAATTACGTCGGAAGACTAAATTCCATTTCCATTTCCAAGACTTTCAGATAAGCAACCAACCACAGATAAATTAAAGGAAAACAGCTGACATCGAGTTTGGTTTTTTTTTTTTTATATCAACTTCTGTTCATGAGATTTGAACTCAGCACACATCGAATTTTTAATTAGAATCTTAAATAGTGATCTTCTGATGAGAATCAACATAGGGAACTCCAAACCCTGGGATTCAGAAACTGGAAATTGAGAATGTCCCTTGTATGCGTTGTAAATATGACAATGATCATTTTATTGCCTGTCAGCAATTTAGAGCATCCTACAATTTTAATTTAGATTTGTGCTACGAGAAAGGACAGACATCCTATATCCTCTATCAGCAATTCAGAGTAATATGATTTTTAATTGTATGATTTATTGAGCTTCACCCCAGTAGAAAAGGGGAGGCATTAATTAACAGCATTGCAAAACAAAATACCAAAATGTTTGTCTTACTTTGTTACATGCCTGGTAATCCTAAAGAAATTAAAAGACAATAACAGCAGACTGGTAGCCAACAAATTTTCTTCTCAAAGAAAGGCTCCCATGTTCCCGAAACAGAAAAGAGAGAGTCAAGCATGGCATTTCAAAAGTGGGAAAAAGAAATATTAATTTTTTATTGTTAGTAAAATCTATAATGCATTTACTTATTTAAAAAAGAGGATTTTTGTAATATTCAAGAGAAAAGGTTTTGTTTGCAATCCCACATTTTTCGACATGATCAAATTTATTTGTAAATATCATGGGCATAAGAGATTAATACTTTTTAAAACCCCAAATAAGCAATTTACATTGACAACTCAAATCCAAATTTCTCGTCTTAAATCCTTGCATCCAAATGGATTCCCATAAGATTTCAAATAAGATGAAAAAGACTTAAAATGACAAAAATAGAAGTTTTAAAATGAAAGTAATAACAAACCATTTCGAACTCGAATAGGGTTTCAAAGTGAATATATGGTCAGTCATTGTCAATAAGATACTAAGCTCATTGTTTTTTCATAAACATGATTTATGTTCCAAGTATGTTAAGATAGGACATCAAAATAAATTTTTGTATACAATTACAACCATACATTGAATCAGTAAAATGAGAATATATGACATACCATAGCCTCATGAAGCCATGCCTTAGGAATACCCAAGTCTACAATGGCTTGGCGTTGTGATTCTTGTGAACTCCAGGATTCACAATATTGGAACAAGATTTCCCGAATAAGATTAGAATGGAGATATGGAAAATCTTCAGATTGGGGCATGTGAAGGACCACATAGATGGCCCAATGACATTGCCCAAGACACAACAACTGGGTAACAAATCCCATGTCAAGAACATGAAGATCCTTAGAGCTGATAGCACCAACTGCTTCCAACACTGCACGCTGATGCCAGATCATATGGTAATCCAGTGGATCGTGTGTTGAGGAGAAGGCACTAAACATGGGCTTCAGAAAGCCAACTTCACTTTCTTCACTGGCATGAAGCAGCATCAGATAATACGATAGATCATAACGTTTCGCCGCATTCAAATTCCCAGCCTCTTCTACCAGTCCTTCATCAATGTAGACTGGAACTGGGTATGGAGCCTTACCATCATCAAGAAGATGTTGATAGGTGTGAAAAATCGTAGGCAGTGAAGTGCTAGGTTCTAAATGATACCACATCAACAACCCTAGAAACCTCTTCCAATCAACGTTAACATCATGAAAAGCACCATGGATATTACCAGCAAGCAACTCATAGAGCCTTATCCTGTCTTTCTCAATGAAGTCGAAATCGAGCCCATTGATCCTCCAACGATCAAGTTGTTGGGCAACGTCAGTACGATTGACTATGGACCCACCGGCCTGACTCAACAAACAAGCCAATCTCACGTCTCCCCGAGAAGCAGCAAGTTCCACAGCAGCATCCAACTGACGCCCACTCAAAAGTAACAATATATATTCTAGATAACTGGACTCATTCAAGGAGCTTATCTTTTCTTGTACTCGATGGGAAACATTCTCTTGCAACCAATAGCTAAACTCTGCCCTCCGAATAAGAGGTAAAGCTTCCAGGTCTATTTGTTGAGAAGCTTCCTTCACATCTTGAACCATTTCTTCCTCACTATCAGCACCCAAAGATTTCAATTTTCCACCCATTTCCCTATCAGAAAAGAGAACTTTTATCAACTCCCAAATCATTATTTGGTGTGTCAAAACCAAACGGGCAGAGGAAGATAGGCTGGGAACTTCCAGCTGCTTCTCAATAATATCTACATAGCTCCTACAAATCTGTGGAAGCATCAGACGGTTGGAGACAAGATTTTGAAGCCTCAGGTTGAATGATCCAACTTCAATCTCCTTTGTCTGATGAGATATTCCCTTGTGAAGATCTAAAGGAGAATCAATAGCCATGTCAACAAGTTCCTCCCTAACTTTGTTGTTTTCATCTCGAACAACACTGTCAATGGCAACCTTCTCTATATTGATTATGGATGATAGCATCATTGGAGAACTATTACTCCCGACTGGTGTTCCAGCATGGACAAGGGTTCCATTTGGGCCCCATCCTACTCGAAATGACTTACCCATAAACAAACCAGCATCAACTATGTTGCAAGAATGTTTTCTGGTTACTGGTGTTTCATGCTTGAGATCAAGCTTAAAACCTTCTTTCAATGTCTTAGGGGGCATGGCCTTATTTTCTTGGGCCATTAGAATGGCTCCAGGAGAATTTGAGTCAAAATTACCATGCTTGTACTCTAGCAATGCCAGTGGGGTTTTTCGCACAACTGGTGGAGTGGATCTCTGACTCATCCTCTGAGAAGCAAAGGATGAATTATAATGTGCAGGGATATGATTCAAATCCTCAGCCTCCTCTTCCTCATCATGGAACATCAACATTCTCATTTCTTTCATCTTTATGGGGTCAAGCCCAAGATGTACAGGTAGAGAATGCGAAAGCACAATTCCAGTGGGATCCATTTGGCTTTCTTCATCACAATCAGAAATCTCACCATGGTTCATTTCCACAAGATCTTGAGCTGAAGCACTATCTTCCATCATGATGTCTTCTTCATCATCTTCATTCAACCCAAATCTGCTGAAATGGTGAACAAAGAATTTCCATTCCCCGCTCTCTGGATTAAACGAAATAAAGCGAGCTCCTTGTCCCTCCGCACTCTGCCTCAACTTTTTCACAATATTATATTTTTGTCTCTCGTCAATAGTTGATGGTCTTGTTTGCAGAACCAAAGTTACTTCAGCAGGCTTGTTAAGGCCTTGGCCAACCAAAGGCTTGACAGCTTCATCTTCATATACGATTACCTCGTGTCTGTGGAACTTGACGATATTATCTAATTCCAAACACCTTATGTCAGTTTTCCCAGGATACTTGACAGAGCCATAACCAAGTCTCCCAACTGTGAAGTCCAACACTCGGCTACAAAAACCAGGATCTGCATATTCTCGAGCAGCCAAATCCTTTAAAGAGGGCTGCGTATAGTAATCAGCTGCTTCTAAAGTTGGTAAACAGGGTACAGATGCTTCAAGATGGCTAAAAGTCCCAGACAAAGAAAAGCAAGTGTCCTGAGAAACCCTTCGTTTCTTGTGTTGACATGCAATATGTGAATTAGGAGGAGTTCCAGAATCAATGCCCATTCTGCAGGGTTGTAACAATTGATACGTTGCTTCAAATATTATAAACTTCACTACAAGTTCCTGAAAATGTGAAACATAATCGAACATTAACCATGAATGTTAAAAATTCCTACTCTCAATGGCACACATCCATGAAATGTTGCTTATAATTCTTCCCCAAATAAAGGGAGAAATCGTTATATCAGCGACCAATATCCACCGTAAGGGTGCCCAGAACTAGAAACTGACATGAAAAACCCCAAAATTTTAGTCCTAATTGGCCTTCTCTAAACCCCAAAACCCTATCAACACAATTGCAAGACTAAATTACCGGAAAACAAAGGCCCTAGCTTCAGTGACCCAGTAAAAAACTAACATGGACTAATCAAAAGAAATCAAAGGAAATCAGCGGTGAACTCTGAGTGAACACTTACAGTGCATTCAGCTCCTGTGCCGCTCGGTTTCAGCCAAGTCAAGCATTTGAGACCACTTTCAGTTCCTCCATAATTTTGTCGGCTGCCATTTCAGAGCACCTACACTAAAAATCAGAGGCCTGCGAACTTCAACGGAGAACAGCACAGAAAAACCTTACTGGTGTCCTCCCAAGCGTTCGAAATAAAAACCTTACTGGTGTCCTCCCAAGCGTTCGAAATAAAAGACGGAGAAGACGAGCGAAAGGGGGTTTGCGGCGTCGGAGGATGGGCTTTCCTTTATCGCGCGCTTTGTCCAAACAAAATATGAATGTCCGTATTTCAGGTTTTTTATTGTGATGAATTGAATTGAGGATAAATTGAATTGAAGAGGAATTGGAATGAGGGAGAAGTAGAATCAGACTCAGATTTGTGTTGAAGTTGTTTACTAAAATTGTATGGAATTTGAGAATAATAATGTTTGTTTCATATAAGTTGTTTACTAATTCATTATAATCGAAATTAAATTAGCTTGATTACTAAATTGCCCTTATATAAATAAGTTATTTTTATACTTATTAATCAAACTAATTTATTGTTAAAAAAATAATTAATCAAACTAATTTTATATACCAAAATTTATTTATATAAAAATAATTAAAGAGTATTTAACTTATTTCCATTTGCTGTCTTCCCCACCACAAAAAACCCATTGTCTGTCTTCCCCACACCACCCCTCTCATCCTTTTCCCAACCGCAACAGCCCTCCCCCATCCCCGCCTTTCCTTGCCCTCCACCCCACTTACCCCATAGCCACCGCCCATAGATCGGCAAGTCATGGTCCAGCGTGGAGCGGTCTCGTTGGCAAATCATGGTCTAGCGCGGATCAATTACAAAGCTAGTTCAAAACGATTGGAGATTAGGTTATGCAAAATGGACGAATTGAGGCCTTATAACTTCTTGTTAAGGTTGAATTCAGTGAAAGGATTGTGAAAGACAACAGAGAGTTGTTGCATAGGGCTGTTGGAGAGGATGGCGGAGGACAACCACAAGATGGAAGGGTATTTTGGAAAGAAAAATTTGGTTCCGGATGGAGGTTTCTGCCCCGGAATCCAAATACCAGCTACATCTCGGTAATTCAATTCCGGGTAATTTCGGAATTCGATTCCGGATTTTAGGTGGACCCCACACTTTTTTTTATCCCCTATGTGTTAGTAAACGTTGGAATCCTTCCAAAGGAGTGCAATTCTGTTTCCCCCTACTCCTCTCCCGTTTGGTAAACACACCATAAGTCTTGAATTTGATACTTTAACAATGAAAATAGATGTCACTTAGTATTATGGTCTAGTGATATTCCTCTTCACATAAAAGTGAGTGGTCTTAGGTTTGAATCTTGTTGATGACGAGTTTGATACCAAATTAGGCTACTCATTATAGTCCCTCATTTTAAATGTTGAAAATCAATGTAGTTCTTATGTTAGTATTTCATAAATAATTTTGTTAAGTGTGCTAATTGTTGACCAATGAGTATCCAAAAATATCTACTTGTTCACTTGCACTTGGGGCCTCAACCACCTTTACATCTAGTTCATATCCTTGTTCCTGAATTCGAATAAGTACCACTGAAGCCATAATTGAACCATCCACAATGGTCCTTGAACATTGGTATTGAAAGATTACTTCCCAGTCATCTTATCTAACATGGCATAAATATGAGCTAGGAAGAAAGGGCATGTGGCTAGACTATCATATTGATTCAGGGCTTCAACGAGGGGGATCCACTCAACTTTCACGCGCTTTGAAGGGTTGGGGAACTTGAACTTATTCAGCCAATAGAGCAAGAAGTACGTACATGTTCTCTTGATCTCTATTGGTGGAGAAGGAAGAAGGATCATACTTTCTTTTGAAATAGTTAAGGAAGCCGGAGTAAGAAATTGCACATGCTTGAAATTCTGAAGAAAAGTACTTAATCTTCACCGGTGGCAGAGTGGCCCTAACTTGTCTTTTTTCTTCATCAATTGTAAGTTCTAGGGAGAGACTAATCCTTTGAGACGTCGATACACTTGCATGATGGTCTCAGACCAAATAGCCGAGTCATGTTCAGAATCGTGAGAGACATCAATCTCATTCTGAAATTGAAAGTATTGATCGCGTTCTCCACTACATCAGGCACTTGTTGGAATCAAAGTAGGCTTTCCCATGTTGAAAGTAGACTCGAAGATTCAAACCACCTTGCACTTTGTGGAAAGTGTACAGTCGAGTTCCAAGGCTGGTAAGACCATCACTGGACTCAGAATGAGAAGCTGTTAAAGTCAACATGGATGAATTGATTAAGAGTTGGAAAATTTTCTAGTATGGAAAGTTTCGCAAGATGAAAATTTCGATTTTTCGAAGAATTGAGTTTTCTAGAAATTGAAGGTAAAGTAAAAAATGGCAGAGTGTTCCCCTTTATATCCGTTAAAATTTGCTCGTTAGGGTTAGTGGGTTAGTAGAAAAGGTTATGCAACGGTCATTTGGTGGCGTAATCTTGAAGGTGAAAGTTTAAATATAATAAAGTCAAAATTTAATGGCTTAATTACATTTAAAGGCGTCTATATTTGGACCTAAAATAAATATTGGCCTGTTTGAGGCCCATGCTATTTTCATTTAAAATGCAAGTGGGTATCTATTTTAGCAGAAGTGAACAGTGCGCGAGCCGAAGAATTCAAAAGTACTTTACACATGGCATAATGGATGACAAACCCTCATTCACAATGTTCGGTTAACTCAATCAATTTTTACAGAAGGAAATGTTTTCTGTTGACGTTTTGGTAGTTCTGATGAGATAAAAAAAGCTTATGTTGTAGCATAAATTCTTATCCTTTGAAAGCAATCACATCATCAACTGGGTATAGAGAGGATTAATTTGAGAATAAAATTCTTACTTTGGAAGGAAAACCTGTTTTCTAAAATGCAGCATAAGGGCATTAGACATATACACTTAATTCATCATATACAAAAAGATTTTAAAGCTTTACAGCCTATCCATTTTACAATTTATTTTACAATTTGTATTGTGGTTCATCACTAGCAAGAATTTGCCTGAATATGTTTAAATTTTACCGGATTGCTTTTATTTCTCATCCCCTTTCAAGTTATTGCTTTGTTGTTCGATATTTGACAAGTGCTTAACTTTATTTCCATTTTCATATAGTTTGTGATGCGATATATTCTTATATTTATATTAAAGGATTTGGATCCTCTCCGAGGCAATTGGTCGGGATCCTTCTGAACGATTTACGTAGGTCGTTGGATTTTTATCCAACGGCTACAAATAAGAAGTCTTCTAAAAATTATAATAATTGTAGCTGTTGTATAAAAATTCAACGGTTCACAGACACCGGTCAAGAGGATCCCAACCAACTACTTCAGAGAGGATCAAAATCCTATATTAAAATTGCAAACTGAGTTGAGCCAAGATTCGATCAGTTTGTGATTATCACTTAACATAAAATAAACAATTGAAGTCCTTTGCATAGCAAGGCATAGAAAAACAACTCATCAGGGCAAACTGGCCGAACAAAAAAAGTTGAGGGGGAAATTGGCACTTGGGTGATTCAGGAATAAACGAACATTGCATTTGAGAAAAACAAAAAGGTGGAGTGGAGTGCGAACAATGAGAGCCTTGTACCGGAGGTGCTCGCTATGGAGGACAAGAAGAGAAGCTCCGCACTCACTTTTCTTCTTCTCAAATGCTCTCTGTACCCACACCAACAACATTGATGGGGTTCACAACTCCAGGATCAAGGTCTTTGATCGCCACTTCAGACGCAAACAGGTTCTAATTTCCTCTTTCCCCCCACAGATTTCAGTAAAAGCATCTCACTTTAGCAATTGCCAATTGGGTTGAGAGGTGGGCATTCTGATAAATTATTCGACAAATTAAATTTCATGTTTTTTTTTCTTTCAGAAATCAAAATAATAATAAAAATTGTTATTTGTGTGCAGCTTGATCGAGCTGCTTGGTTGATGCGTTCCAAGGATTCTTTTGTTGATACTGTTGCTGAGAATCTATTAGATCGCTTGGAGGTAAAAAAGCCCAGTTTCTTTTTTATTTTCATTTTATTTTTGGTTTAGAACCTTTAGTTTTACTTAAAGGAATGAATTATTATCAGAACAGATAATTTTGTTACTAGAATTTGTTGGCTTCATCACTGTTTCTGATGGTAAGAACACCACTCGTGACGATTCCAAGTATATTATCAACCAAATTACTTCCCCGTATGGTATATAAAATTGCATATCTTGAGCTATTTTATAGCCGGTGAACGTGATACGTCAGCATGCTGTTCTCTGTAGTTTTCCTAGGACTCTGGTGATTTATAGAATCCCCTTTCCTTGAGTGGCTATATCCTTTCGAATGTTTCGGCTGATATAGTTGGATGATGCACTCCTTTTTCTTTCCTAAGTGGAAAACTTAACCCTATTTTCTTGTGTTCTTACTTCCAAACCTTTTCAAGTTCTATTGTTCCACCAGCATCCGATGAATTTAGGTAACAGTAAAGTCTGGTAACCTTCTTGGGGAAACCTTGCAACACTTGATTTATCTAAGTTCATAAATTGTGATGTTTAATGACATTACTTTTAGGGTAATGCAATAGTTAGTGTTTAATTCTAGGCTGTAGAGTGAGGAATGTGTACATCTTTCTGCAAGTCTATATTCGATGTTTCAGTCTATGCTCATTCAAAGAAAAATATTTCACTTTGTATTTATACAGCTAGTACTTTCTTCTCTTTTGTGTTTGAATTTCCATGTGTATCATATTGAAGGACTGCAAGAAAACTTTTCCAACAGCATTATGTTTGGGAGGCCAATTAGAAGCTGTCAGGCGTTTGTTAAATGGTCGCGGTAAGAAATTATCTTTGTAATACCTTTCTCCTTTATCCTTTGTATTTAGCTTTAACATATTGTCCAACATGTAATTAATTTTTCATAGTTATTGAGATTAAATGACTATTTCTAGCCTTATTGACGAAAATTATCATACAAATGATGCTACTGAGGAAGTAAGTGATGTTTAAGTGGAAATAGCGGTATTTTTGTTTTTGAATTGGTATGACTCACAAATCACCAATTTCCTACCATGTATGATGTACCCCAGCAGCGTCCATAAGAACTCTAACTTAGCTGCACTTTTTTTTTTTTTTTTTTTCCAATGCTAGGTGCCATTGAAAAGCTCATTATGATGTCGGCATCATATGACATGGCAAAACTGTGTAGAAATGCTGAGCATGAGTTACAAACTGAAAACATTGAAACATCCTTTATGGTTGGTGACGAAGAGTTTTTGCCGGTCAAGGAAAGGTATCCCTCTACATTTAATTTCTTTGGTTTTGGTTAATTTTACTGCTTGAGGGATTTTAATTTTGATATAATATCCTCTAATTGTATGTGTGAAGTTCTGTGGATCTGGTATTAAGTTGCTTGGGCCTTCACTGGACAAATGATCTTCCAGGAGCAATGATACAGGTATTTTGCTCTTTCATTGTTGTGTGCCTGAACATTCAAGATCAGTGTTAAATTTATTATTTGGATCTGTTATAACTCATGTGACGGTGATGCAAAGAATTCATGGAAGAGCAGATAACAAAACACTTGTTAAATCTTGCTTGTTTATGTAATATAGACAGCGCTCTGAAAAATGCATATTTATGTTGTGGTTCTTCATTTTACAAGGATTAGGTTTGATTTCCTTTTCTTTAAGGATTAGTTTATTTCCTATTTTATTAGGTTTATGTCTTTATAAATTACATCCTTGTAGACCCTCTGGAGACAGATTGGACGATTGAATATTTTTTTTTTTTTTTTTTTGAACTAATGAGATTATCTACACTAAAGGGGTGGGGGAGTGGGCTAAGCCTCACAATGGGCTAGTAATAATGTGGTTCAAATTTGCCTTTGGAACCTAAGAGCTCTCACTTCCAAGTGAAGAGGAATACCACTAGACCATAGTACTAAGTGGCTGGACGATTGAATTTAAAGTGCTGGGCTTTGCTTTTCTCTAGGTTTGTGTGATGCAACCTAACCCTAGGTGTGATGCCTAAGGCTTCTAGGAGTGATTCCTAGAAAGCCTACTGGTGTGATGCTAGCAGTTTCTATCATTTTCTCATAAGTTTCCTTTATCTTCCTTTAAGATTTCTGCTGTGCCTTCAACGATTCATAATTTCAACAAGAATCAAAATAGGCAGACATCCTCCTTTAATTGAGGTTGTCCTGCATCATATACGGACCTTCAAAACTATAAAAATGTTTTTAAATTAAGCTCTTAGAAAATTATACTTATTTCTTTTATTTTACAAAAGATTTAATAGCTTTTGGTCAAATTCCTAAATCATATTGAATAATCAAATTCAGAACCTTGCAAATTTCAAAGTAGAACTACATAAGCTTGCATTTGTGGAGAATAATACGCATTACTGCACTGAGAAAATGTAGACATACTCGTACATTGACAGAGACACGAGAGAACAAAAATCTGCATGATTTGCATGAAACAGTATTTCTCAGTATATCAAATACCTAACCCATGAAAAAACACGTATATAAAGTCTTTATAATTGTTAGCACTTTGTTGAAAAGTTATAGCAGCTACTTTTAAAGGGATTTATACTGCTTGTAGCTTTGTAGATTTCTTGGTTGATGACAAAACATGATTGCTGTTGCTCTTATGGAGTTAATTCCCATGAATGTATTCATGACTTTCATTTGTGTACCTTTGCTTTTTTTTTTTTTTTCTCTATTCCTGTATCTGTGTTATATAATCCGGAAGGTTATCATTGTCATTATCGTCATCACAGAGTCCAGAATGTAACTGCATGAAAATATCTAAGACAAATGTTTATGTTTGACAGTGCAGATTGGCATTGAAGCCAGATGGCCTATTTTTAGCGGCAATTCTTGGTGGAGAAACCTTAAAGTTGTTTATTCATTGTTGACTTGTCAGTTATATTGAACCTTGAAAGTCGTTTAAACTTTGATTTGTTAATATGTTGATGATTGACTTATCCTTTTTTTGGTTACTAGAGAACTGAGGATAGCATGCACCGTGGCACAAATGGAGCGTGAAGGAGGCATCAGTCCACGAGTATCACCTTTGGCACAAGTATGTAACTGTTGCATTGGTTTTGCTGTCTAATGAATCCAAGGAGTAATTTTGAACTGTGGACAATCCATGTGTCTGACCTAATGGCCACACGTGCCTCTCATTGCCCTATATAATTGATCTGCATGTTTGGCTCCTGTCACGTACATACCAAACATAAGGGGGCACATTGAGAGTATAGAATCCCACATTTGAAATTCAAAGCCTTGCATAACAGTATATAAGATGTTAGTTCTCTCCAACTGGCAACCGTAAGGGGGCACAAAATTAGAGTATAGAATTCCACATTGGAAATGCAGAGACTTGCATAACAATGTATAAGTTCATAGGCCTCTCCACCAATTGCCTAGTGACTTTGGGATGGATGCCTTGAGACTTTCTTTCCAAGTTCTGTTATTTTAGGTTCCCTGAAAAATTATATCATTGTGCGGTTAAAATTCAGCATGTAAACCCTCCCACACATTTTCCTTTTGAGCTTAGGTGCGGGATGCAGGCAATCTCTTGACCAGGGCAGGCTTTACCCTTCCAGGTGTTGATGTGGATGAGTTTGTAGTAAGATATCCAAGCGGTGAGCATTCCCTGGCTATTGTTTGGGCATGTGATTGTAGTAATTTCTTGCTTGTGACTTTATGGTTAATGCTCCTTGGATGTTCCATGTCACAGTTAATATGTTTGTGCCTTCAATTTTAGGTTCATCTTGTGTTTCTTTAATCTTAATAGCATGTGATCGCATGGGTGAGAAAATAATTACAGGCACAAAGTCTTTAACAAATGAAATGATGCTTGCGCATGGTTGGTTCCCAGATTTATGGTGCCCTGTGTAGAGATTGAAAATATGGCCCTAACTTACACTCATACTAAAAAAATACTATAGAAAGGGACTATATGAAATATTATAACCCGCTTTATACATAAAAAAGAGTGCCTACTTTTAAAACAGTTCGGCGATCCTTCAACTTTGGGGGCTTTCATGGTACTATTTTGCATATGTCTAGGGAAGGCCCTAGTTTTTCTGCTGGCATTCAGACTTTTAAAAAGTATTGAGTATGCCTGGAAGGCAATCACTTGGACAAAGTATCTGAACTAGGGGTCAACCTCTAATTATCCCCGGCTTTCAGCTCCTTTTTCTGTTTTTTTTTTAAAATTTTTTATTTAATTTTTTTTAGTTTTTTTAGGTTGGCCAGCAACGGGGGTATGGCCTGGTATGTTTAAAAGATGACTGATTTTGGTAGCATTGAATTAAGTCCTCGGTTCTACAAATTTTATTCTGTTTTGAATGGAAGTATCTTTATTTTGCAATATTTTCTTTTTATGAATTTCATCTTTTTATCCATGTACCCTAATTCATGGTCATTTATAGTTCTTTGTTTTTTCTCTCCATTCGGTGTAGCTCTGGATCTCATAGAACATCTGCGTGCAATCTTCTTTTTATCCATGTATCCTAATTCATAGTCATTTATAGTTTTTTTTTTTCTCTCCATTCGGTGTAGCTCTGGATCTCATAGAACATCTGCGTGCAATGGGTGAAACGAATGCTCTTCTACAAAGGAACACTGTAAGATATATTTACTTTTGGGATAAATAACTTTGTTTCTTTACATTATGAAGTAATCATGTCTACTTTCATCAAATCGATTGATAGGGGTGCTATGCTTATTATTCAAAACAGATTTTAAAGAGAGACACGGCCCTGGCCACTGCAGCAATTTATGATTCAATGTTTGCAGCAGAAGATGGCACCATCCCAGCAACCTTCCAGGTGAGCATACGATAAACTCCCTTACAGTTGTGAAATTTGTTAACTTAAAACCTAGATTAACGTAGGTTTGTGTTCCTTTTATATGTTGTCTGTGCTGTGGACTTGTCTCTTAAACTGTATCAACGAAGTTACTAGGAAATCTTAGTCCAAGACTTCATTTGATCACTATCCTATCTGTGTTTAAGCCCCGGTCTGCACCTTGCTCTCCTTTTATTGTGTACACGTGTAACAGGCTGACCCAGAAACTCTAGTCTTATCGAACGAATGCTCGGTGTTTTGTTGGATTTGCAGGTGATTTATATGACAGGGTGGAGTGACCATCCATCTCAGCAGAGGGCAAAGAGGAGGGGATCTGCAACTGTATCTTTTCAGGACATCCAGAAGCAATTTGGAAGTGAGACTTGATCTCCCTATGTGCTCACGTTTTCTAAGCAAATGAAAGTCGAGTAAGAGAAGAAAATTGTACGACCGAAATGTGTGGTTTGGTCAATCAGGAAAGTCAGGATATTTGGTGATTATTTTATTGTTAATTTTCTAGTTTTTATTAGAAATTTTTTGCACAAATACCACTAAAAAATTAAATAAAATTGGTGGTGTGATTACATGACAGATTATTGGAAATTGGTTGTTCTAATCACTCTATATTCAATTGCTGAATTAACTAATTTTAAAAAAATTGGTGAGTAAGACAATTATGATGATAAGGACGTATGATTAGTTTGGCAATGAAGATTTAGTTCTTGATCATTTTTAGTTAGTTACCCCAAATTATTCCGTCCATTATCCTGTTCAAGTGATCACATGACACCAGTGGGATGTTATTTCACCAATTTATTGAAATGAGAGAACAACTTGCATAGAACAATTTTGATGCAACATTACATTATCACGTGGAGAAAAATTCAAAGAGAATGAGTAGAATGAGTTGGGTTTGTTGCTTTTGTTGAAAAATGAAAAGAAGGCCAAACGTTGTTGTTTGTTTTTTTTTTTTTTTTTTTTTTTTTTTTTTTTTTTTTTTTTTTTTGTCTTTAAAAAAAAACTCCGCCTATGTAATTTTACATTGCCGGTCCCAAGCCCGGATAAAGGAGGAGGGGGAGGGCGTCAGGTAGTCGACAGCCGGCACTCCATGATCACGTCGAATCCTTATGAAAATGAATCCAGAACAAAATCGCGCTAAAGCTAGGGCGTCACCCGTAAGTGGCGCGCTGTGTGGCCCGAGCACAGTGATAAGTGAGCAAAGGTCGTTGTATCTCCATCGGCACCCGGATGCAGTGTTAAATGAGCAAGGGGGCCGTAGAAACTTCTTTTCGAACGACTCCACTCAAAGTTGTTTGGGAGCATATGCTCCTATCAACTTTACACAGGACACACAAAAGAAGTACTTTGATCCTATTAGACGGGGGAGGGTGAAGAAGCTAGGACAGAAGGGTAGAGTTCAAGAGAGCAAAATGCGTTTAGGAACGTGGAATATAGGAACCTTAACGGGAAAATCTATGGAAGTAGTGGAAGTTATGGTGAGGAGAAGGATAAATATTATGTGCCTACAAGAAACTAAGTGGGTTGGTAGTAAAGGCAAAGGATCTAGAAAACTCAGGGTTTAAACTTTGGTATTCGGGCACAAATAGAACGAGAAACGGTGTTGGCATCATCGTGGACAAGACCTTGACACAAAGATGTTGTAGATGTCAAGAGGGTAGGAGATAGAATCATGGCAATCAAGATTGTAATAGGACAAGAACTTATCAATGTGATTAGTGCGTACGCACCTCAAGTAGGGTTGGATACGAGTTCGAAGGAGAAATTTTGGGAAGACCTTGGAGACTTGGTGCAAGGAATTGCTCAGACGGAGAAGTTATTTATAGGAGGAGATCTAAATGGACACGTGGGCAGGGAGACAGGCAACTATGGAGGTTTTCATGGTGGCCATGGTTTTGGGGAGAGAAACGAGGATGAGGAAGCTATCTTGGATTTTGCAATGGCATATGATCTCTTCTTAGCCAACACCTTCTTTAAGAAGAGAGAAGAACATGTGATCACCTACAAGAGTGGGTCGTCAAAAACACAAATAGATTTTCTTCTAATGAGGAAAGAGGATCGTATAACTTGTAAGGATTGCAAAGTTATACCAGGAGAGAGCGTGGCTAATCAACATCGCTTGTTGGTGATGGATGTACATATCAAAAGAGGGAGACAAAAGAATAAGACTTGGAAGTGCCCAAGGACTAGATGGTGGAATCTAAAAGAAGAAAAACAAGCCATTTTCAAAGAGAAGGTAATCACCCAATGTGTGTGGGATAGAGAGGGGGAAGCTAGCCAAATGTGGGATTCCATGGCTAGTTGTATCCGAAAAGTAGCAAAAGAGGTATTAGGAGAGTCCAAGGGCTTTGCCCCACACCAAAAAGGAATCTTGGTGGTGGAATGAGGAGGTACAAACAAAGGTGAAGGCTAAGAAGGAATGTTGTAAAGCCTTATACAAGGAGAGGACCGATGAAAATGGTGAAAGGTATAGAAAAGCGAAGCAAGAGGCGAAGAAAGCGGTCAGAGAAGCTAAGTTAGCGGCTTACGACGATATGTATAAACGACTAGATACCAAAGAAGGAGAGTTGGATATCTATAAACTAGCTAGAGCAAGGGAAAAGAAGACAAGGGACCTAAATCAAGTGAGGTGCATCAAGGATGAGGATGGAAAGGTTCTTGCTACAGAGAACGCGGTTAAAGACAGATGGAGAGGTTATTTTCATAATCTTTTCAATGAAGGACATGAAATGAGTGCTTCTTTAGGGGAGTTGAGTAACTCAGAAGAGTGTAGAAACTACTCTTTTTATCGTCGAATCCGGAAGGAAGAAGTGGTTGTAGCTTTGAAGAAGATGAAGCATAGAAAAGCAATAGGCCCAGATGATATACCAATCGAAGTGTGGAAAGTTTTGGGAGAGACAGGTATAACATGGCTCACTGACCTTTTCAATAGGATTTTGAAAACGAAGAAGATGCCAAATGAGTGGCGAACGAGCACTTTGGTGCCTATCTACAAGAATAAGGGCGACGTACAAAATTGCATGAACTATAGGGGTATTAAGTTAATGAGTCATACAATGAAGCTCTGGGAGAGAGTCATTGAGCATAGATTGAGGCAAGAGACACGGGTTTCGGACAACCAATTCGGGTTCATGCCAAGGCGCTCAACCATGGAGGCAATCTATCTCTTCCGAAGATTGATGGAAAGATATAGAGATGGGAAAAAGGATTTACACATGGTCTTTATAGATTTGGAAAAAGCGTATGATAGGGTCCCAAGAGACATTCTTTGGAGGATCTTAGAGAAGAAAGGAGTACGAGTAGCATATATCCAAGCTATAAAGGATATGTATGAAGGAGCAAAGACTGCCGTAAGAACTCATGAAGGACAAACCGAAAGCTTTCCCATAACTGTAGGATTACATCAAGGCTCATCCTTAAGTCCTTACCTTTTTGCGTTGGTAATAGATGAGTTAACAGGACATATTCAAGATGATATTCCTTGGTGTATGCTTTTCGCAGACGATATAGTGTTGATAGATGAAACACAGGAAGGGGTAAATGCAAAGCTTAACCTTTGGAGAGAAGTTCAGTGCAGATGGAGGCCAAAACGAGTTAGGGGTGAGGATCGGAGATCAAGAAATACCAAAGAGCGACCGTTTTCGTTACCTAGGATCTATCTTGCAAAAGAACGGAGAATTAAATAGAGATCTCAACCATAGAATACAAGCTGGATGGATAAAGTGGAAGAGTGCATCTGGCGTGTTGTGTGACCGCCGTATGCCACTGAAGCTCAAGGGAAAATTTTATAGGACGGCAACAAGGCCGGCGATGCTGTATGGCACAGAATGTTGGGCGGTGAAGCATCAACACGTACACAAAATGGGTGTAGCGGAGATGAGGATGCTTCGTTGGATGTGTGGGCACACGAGAAAGGATAAAATTAGGAATGAGGATATCCGGGGTAAAGTAGGAGTAGCCGAAATTGAAGGAAAGATGAGAGAAAATCGGTTACGGTGGTTTGGACATGTGCAAAGAAGGCCTACTGACGCTCCGATTAGAAGATGCGACTATGGGACAGAGGTTCAGGACCGAAGGGGTAGAGGAAGACCTAGGAAAACTTTGGAAGAGACTCTAAGAAAAGACTTAGAGTACTTGGATCTAACGAAGGACATGACACAGGACCGAGCACAATGGCGTTCTAAGATTCATATAGCCGATCCCACATAGTGACTTGGATTTTCCAAGTCTCCAACCGAGAAGTTTTCCTCACTCGAAAAATTAAGGGAACACTACCCCAACCTACATGCTCCACTCAGAAAGCTTCAACATACAAGCTTCAACAAAAGAAAATTCAAAGAACTTAGCGAAGAAGGCTTTGGTGTATTTAACACAATACGTTGAAATGAAGGAAAACTTATTTATTAATATCCCCGATAAGCTACAAATATGTACTTATACATGAGTCAAAATAAACAAACAAGATGGAGCCTTCACAAAGGTTGCTTAGGAGAAGTCTCAGCAGTCGGTAGAGCCCCAGAAAGAGAAGGCATCGGAGGGGGATCATTCGGAGCCTCAGTACTGGACAGAACCCTAGAAGGAGGAGGCATCAGAGGTTGATCATTTGGAGCTTCATTACGCGGTACAGCCCCAGAAGACGAAGGCAATAAATGCCTTTGGAACAAACCCACAAATCTCTGATGATCAAGTAAAACCTGACCATCAGTTTCCTTCATCTGGTCAAGCTTCCTCTTCATGTTTGTAGCATAGTCATGTGCGAGCCGATGCAACTGTTTATTCTCATGCTTGAGCCCTCTAATCTCCTGTTTGAGACTCATCACTTCGGCCGCCAATGATTCAATTTGGCGGGTTCGAGCAAATAGGCGTTGGGCCATATTAGACACAGAACCTGCACACTGAACACTGAGAGCCAGTGAATCCTTAACAGCTAACTCATCAGACCGTTTGGAAAGTAGTCTGTTATCTTTGGGAGTGAGAAGGTTCCTGGCCACCACCGCAGCGGTCATATCATTCTTCATCACGGAATCCCCAACGGTAAGAGGACCAGTAGGGGAGACGAAGGATGGGCGCCATATGTTGTCTGGAGAAGGCGGGGCTGCCTCTTCAACAAGGTTCAAGTCAAAACGACGGTTGGAGGGGCCAGACATTTTCAAAGGTATTGAAGAGAGAAGAGGTCGGACAAATCAAGATCTTAGAAGTGCAAGAATGGAGCTTCTACTGGTGGAGATTCAAGTGTGCTTTGGAACTTAATGCCAGCCCCTATAAAAAGCTGCACTCGACGGAGCTTCAGTCATCGAAGAGGCGCCTGCTCAGAAATCGAAAAGGTAGACTAGCAAGGTAGACTAGCAAACATGCCCAACCTTTACTCACATTCGAGAAAACACTCCCAACAAGATTGCTTGCTCCAAAATTGAAGAGGCACTGCCCTCCGAATCTCGAGAGCCAGACTCCCAACATGATTACTTTGTCAAAAATCGAAGAGAGGGTAAAGGAACAGTACCACTGCTGGATAATTGGAAAGTCCCTGTGTGTCAACCTCTGTGCTTTGTGGCAAGGTAGACTAGCAAATATGCCCAACCTTTACTCACATTCGAGAAAACACTCCCAACAAGATTGCTTGCTCCAAAATCGAAGAGGCACCGCCCTCCGAATCTCGAGAGCCAGACTCCCAGACTCCCAACATGATTACTTTCTCAAAAATTGAAGAGACACCGCTCTCCGAATCTCGAGAGCCAGACCCCCAGCAAGATTGTTTTCTCAAAAATTGAAGAGGCATCGTTCTCCGAATCTCGAGAGCCAGATCCCCGACAGGATTGCTTGTTCGAAAACCGAAGAGGCACCACTTTCCCAACTTCAAGAGCTGGATCTCCTTGGATAAAGCTTGTCTGTAATCTTCACACGCAACATCAGCTTTCCAGATACCACAGACCACTTTTTCAAAGTGCTCTGACAGAGTTAAAACATGTGAAGCTGGCAGCTCCCATTACCGTGCTATGACCAAGCAGGGTAAAGGAATAGCATTATTACTTGATGTTAGGGAGACTTCTATATATGTCGACCTCCATCCCCAACGGACAGGCAGACCTGCAAAAATGCTCAACCCTTCCTCTTATCTGAGAGGGCACTCCCAACGAAGCCTTTCGAAATATTCAGCTTTCTTTCCCCCCGATAATACCTCTGCAAACAAGCTATACTAGAGCAAGAATATCTCATATCATCAGGGTTAAAAGCAAGAGTATCCCATATCATGCTTTTTCCCTGTCTTTTCCTTTGGCCTTGTTTTTACCTGCAAGACAAGGAGAAAGAGAGCAATCAGTCAGCACTTGAAATCAAGCTCCCAGCCAGGAACTGACAGTCTGGAACCCCTTACCTGATTACTTACCTGGCATTGCTCTCGATTACTCATCTTCAACATCTTATGTTGCCAGGGAAGATACCGCATCTGCTTGAGGAACAGATAGGGCAGGTGCGAAGGATACAAGAAAGCATGTGGAGACAAGTGTAACAGCACACGTGCCGATCCATCCATTACTCTGTCAAAAGCAAAAGTATCCCATATCAGCAGGGTCGAACGTACTCTAGATTTGATGGACTTGTTTTGACCCTCAAATTCTTCAGTCCGCCTTATACTCTGGAGGAAACCAGAAAACCCTCCAGCTCAGTTCAAGAATAAGCCTGTGGAAAGTTACTTCTTCAAAAGCAAAAGTATCCCATATCATCTCTTCTCATTTTTCTTCTCTTTATCCTTCATGCTGCTGCAAGATGGGGAGAAGGTGAACAATCAGCCAGAGCTCTGATTGCTTACCTTGTCTGTCACCTCTTTCAACAAATCCCCTAGCTCGGCGACTTGGGGGACTCCTACTACATGGTTTGTATCGCGCTTGACCAAGCCTGAAACTACAAGTAAGCTTCAAGTGAAATTGATACATTACCTTGTGCATCTCCACCAGTTAAAGATACCACCCCTGGATGGAGGAAGAGTACTTCCAGAGAAGCTGCCACATCTACCTATGAGACAGATAAGGCAAGTCAAGATGATACCACACTCCGATACTTAGAAGTTTCGTGATTACGAGATCATTCTCCCACAATATTTCCTAATGTCATTTGTACTCTAATGTCATTTGTACTAAATCATTCACTTGTACTCACTAAAGGAGAGCTTGAACCTATGTACTTGTGTAAACCCTTCACAATTAATGAGAACTCTTTTATTCCGTGGACGTAGCCAATCTGGGTGAACCACGTACATCTTGTGTTTGCTTTCCTATCTCTATCCATTTATATACTTATCCACACTAATGACCGGAGCAATTTAGCGAAGATCACAAAAAGCGACCGTTTTCGCTACCTAGGATCTATCTTACAAGAGAACGGAGAATTAGATGGAGATCTCAACCATAGAATACGAGCTGGATGGATGAAGTGTAAGAATGCATCCAGCATGTTGTGTGACCGTCGTAGGCCACTGAAGCTCAAGGGAAAATTTTATAAGACGGCAATAAGGCCAGCGATGTTGTATGGCACAAAATGTTGGGCGGTGAAACATCAACACGTACACAAAATGGGTGTAGCAGAGATGAGGATGCTTCGTGGGATGTGTGGGCACACGAGAAAGGATAAGATTGAGAATGAGGATATCCGAGGTAAAGTAGGAGTAGCCGAAATTGAAGGAAAGATGAGAGAAAATCGGTTTCGGTGATTTGGACATGTGCAAAGAAGGCCGACTGACGCTCCGGTTCGAAGATGTGACTACGGGACAGAGATTCAGGGCCGAAGGGGTAGAGGAAGACCTAGGAAAACTTTGGAAGAGACTCTAAGAAAAGGCTTAGAGTACTTGGATCTAACGGAGGACATGACACAAAACCGAGCGCAATGGCGTTCTAGGATTCATATAGCCGACCCCACTTAGTGGGAAAAGGCTTTGTTGTTGTTGTTGTTGTCTTTAAAAAAATGTAAGGCGGTGCTATTTTTTGTTAATTTCTCTATTTTTTATCTTTCCATGTATTTTTTATTTTTCTTTATTTTTTATCTTTTCATGTATTTTTTGTTAATTTCTCTATTGTGATATTTTTCAATTCATTCGATCGAAAGTTGAAAATCGAAAAGATTGAAAAAAGAGGTGGATGGCACCACCCAAGAATATTTGGTGATTGAAAAGAAGTGTTATAAGCTGAAACTTACAAGAGGGAAAATAGGAGGACCAATAACTATCAATCATTCAGTATATATTGCATATGGCGCTTTAACACACTGCATGTGGTGCTTTAACGCAATGGCCGAAAGCAATCATGGTTATGCATCCTGGTGCAAATTCAATCCCCACCAATTCTCTTTGCCCCAACAACCCAGTAACGCTATCGCTCAACTCAAAAATAATTCAATACTCACAATCTACAAAAGCAAACATAGTTAGTCTCACACGCACATACACTAACTAGATCTCCAGCTATTTCAGCAACAAAGCAATGGCAGCGATTGAAGACTGAAACCATAAACCATATCCAAAGCATATTCTCTACTCGTAGCGACATATATAACAACCGACTGACCAAAAACTGAAACTATAAAGTGTAAGCATAATTAGTTAGTTGATGACTTCCTGCTAATTTGTGCGGCTTTCGACGATATAAACTAATGGCAAACATCCTGACACCACCACCAACAACAACAACAACAAAGTCTTTTCCTACTAAGTGAGGTCAGCTACATGACACCACCGAGGTGGACAAAAATGCTCAATTCATATTCATTATTGAATAGGTCATTCATGCATTACGACACTTGATCTGTGGTAAATTAGCACCACTGATCATACACTTCAAACTAACCTTGTCAATTTACTCCAGATGACGCATGTCTGTACGGAAACACTTTCCAAACTTCGGTATCCCAGAACTTGACAAAGCTGAAATGAACGATGAGGTCACATTAAGCAATTATAGTCTCATATCACCTAGAACGATATAACTTTCGATTTAGAATGATCAAGAAATAAGGAGCGATGGAGCCATATCTCCTGCCAGAAATAATAATAAGAAGAAAAACTGGATTGAATTATTCTACTTCGTAGTCTGAATGAAGAGAGTATTCACGTTTGGTTGTTCCAGATTCGCAGCATTATGACTTCCTAATTTCTAATTCCACTCTCCTTCACCGAAATACATGAACATGGTGCATAACAGGATATAATAACTGTCGCTAGTAGACACGGCTATAGCCATCGTAATGCAAGGCATAAATTCGATACCATTGTGTTGGACATTTGGTAATCTCTCAGAAACCTTTCTTCAATACCAGTTAAAGTTATAAAGTCTCAGCTGTTGAAATTTGAAATTCTAGATGGAATGAACATATATCTTCATATATAATAAAAGAAAAATTGGAAACTGTATTAGGATATTGTGCTTACAAATCACGTCAATTGAAAAACAACTGCAGATACAAAATTTAAAGTTTAAAACATTGTACCTGGTAGGAAGCATTAGCGATTCTGCAGCATCACAACTGTACACACAATTAAATTCTTAAACTTTGTATACTTATGATAAGAGATTAAAACAAATTCTTAGAGAAACCAATTTCAATAAAAGCGAAGTTGGAAACTATTATTATCAGCGTGGTCTCGGGAGTCGTTTGTTTCTGTAATAGAATAAATGAGGTAATTAATCAGATATGTCTACTGAGTCTTGTCCTCTCGTCCCTGAATAGAGTAATAATGTTGTAGATAATCTACTAAGAAACAAGGCAGGAATAATTTTGTAAGAAATCAAGTCGAATTATTGGACACAGACAAAACTAGTGTATGAAAATCATATTGATTCCGGAAAAGGAAATGACGAAAGACTCACTGTCATCTGTCGCCTGCAACATCAACTAGCACTGAACAAAACTCACAATTCGTGAAGTTGCATAGAAACAAGAATAGAAGAAAGATAACAAGAAAGTGGAAGCTTACCTTTCCACATTGCCAATACAAGAACCAAAGCCAAAAGAGCTGAAATCTATAGCTTAAATCAGTATCACATAAGTTCACGAAATAGTTCGATCTATTAGATTTGTTGTAAAACTTACAATTACATTATCACTCCAATCAATTCCAGAAAGTGGCCTGCCATGAAAATTGAATGAAAAATGGGTAAACTAAATGTTCAGATGCTATGCAAGTTTCAATCAAGTGATTTCAGTTACAAGGGGCAATCACAGGCCAACTTAGTAGAATAAAGATAAAAGCCTTAGAGTATGACAGAAACAGGAGCCTGTTAATAACGTGACGTACCAAATGTTCCCGGCAAAGCTCAACTTCTGTAAATGGTGGGCAGATTGACGGTTACTGTTCCCAGCATTGCAACCTGTAGAGGATGTATATCTATTCTGACTGCATACGCTTTCCGTCTACATGGTCCTACAACACAGCCATTGGTCAATAGGCTCAATACAGGTTGCTTTTTAGTTTTACAACTTCCACCCAACCCAGTGAAACTGTCCGACTCTTATTTGTTTGGTATATATGGCACTGTCTCTTCAAGAGTTGGAACACAACAGCGCCTTGACAAACAGAAGCTAAATGTCAAGAAACATACACTCGGACAGTCAAATCACTCATTCAATTATTCAAGTACACAGCTGAAACAATAATTTCCAAAAACAAACATAAAATTCACCCTATATTCAGCACCCGCAAAAAGACTCAATTCTAGCAACGGACAAGTTATCATAGCTATCATTGCTTTAAAAAAAGAGACATCTAAAAGTAGGGCCATAATATCAGCAGCCGCGAAACTCAGGCATGTACAATAATCTAGATGCGAAGAAGTTGCATTGAAGAATAAAACCGACTCGACTGTGCAGCAGATCATCCTACGCCTACCCATGTGGAGTTATTAGAGAAGATTCTATACTACATTGTATAACCTGATAAATATCAGAATTAAAGGTTTATCTGTTTCTTTTCAATCCATGTGCTTCACTGCCGGATCCTTGACCACATTCAAAAACTTGGGGAAATTAGGGTTTCATGCAAAATCTAGTAGGTGAAGTTGAATTCTTCCAAAAATAAAGCTATAAAATTGAACCAACAAGCAAACCTATCTCGCTGTGGTAAAGTAAGGGTCGTCAGAATTGAACAACTCAACCACCACGGATCGGATCAACGATCTTCTGTTTCTTCCGAAGAAGAAATCCTTCATGCCCAGCACCGTTGTTTGTAGAAGATTCACACCCAGAAAGCCGCTTCCTTTTCAGATTTGTGGATGTCATCCCCAGAGATGCGGCTGCCCTCCTTCTCAGAGACCTCCTCTTCTTGGGAATGATGACCGGGACCAACGGAAACCCGAAATTTGTTTTCTTGTTGGGCCTCCTTCTCAGAGATGACCGTTTCTTCCTCGGAACGATCAGGAACGATTTCGATTTCACAGCAGCACAGAAACGGATGAAATCTGCAACGATAGAGTACTCGTCAAAAAGCCATCTTTTGTCTTCCTCCCAATTCCGGAGAACCACCGCGACCTCCGACAAAAGATTCAAATTCGAATTCATTCTCACAATACCAAATCAACTCAACAGAATGACAGAGTGAGGTTAGGGTTTCCGATCAGCAGTCAACAGAGTGGGGTTAGGGTTTAGGATCAGATATTCACAGAGAGGCGGAGAGAGAGAGAGAGAGAGAGAGAGGGAGTGATTAGGGGGTGTTAGAGTTTGCAAGAAGCAATGTGCCGTTGGGAATGGGAGGGGATTATAGTTATACATAGCCAGCACTGCCGCTATAAGGCGGTTCAACGGTCGGACTCAAGAGCAGTTTTGAATTTAAATTTCAAATTTCGAAATTCGTTTGCCGTTTATACGAGCTGCTGGCCTGGAAGATGAAGAGGAAGCGTGAAGGCATTTCAACATTACTAATATGCCCATCCACTTAAAACGTTATTTTTTTTAATAAATATTTTTTAAGAAAAAAATACACATAGAGTATACTTTTAATACTTAATTTTATATTGAGACAATACTTTTAAACATTTAAGGGAGAAAAAAAAAATGAAAGATGACATCATTTGTTTTTTTTTCTCTGGAGTTTAACTTACGAAAATACCCTTTATTTTTTGTATCTTTTTACACTTCTCTCTCTAGCATTGAAGTTGTTCATGTCACCTAGGTGCCTTGTTTCTCGAGGTTCAAAGAGATGATATACTCATTTGGATGTGCTTTTAAAATCACAGAAAACGTTTTTGATGAAAATATTTTAGAACAATCTTTAATAAATATGCAAGTAAATCCTGGAAAAGCACTTAAAGTCCTTCTGGAACCCAAGTTTTTTTCTTCTAAAAGCGTTTTTAGTCATTTTAAAAGCACATCTAAATGAGCTCATAGTATGTGGAGGTTGGGCATCTACACCTTTTTTGTCACATCCCGACCTGGGGTGGATCACTTCCCAGGCCCGTTCCACCACCGTAGCACGATATTGTCCACTTTGGGCTTACCATTCCCTCACGATTTTGTTTTTGGGAACTCACAAGCAACTTCACAATGGGTCACCCATCATGGGAGTGCTCCGGCCTCATTCTCGCTTAACTTCAGAGTTCCTACGGAACCCGAAGCCAGTGAGCTCCCAAAAGGCCTCGTGCTAGGTGGAGATGAGAATATACATTTAAGGATCACTCCCCTAGGCGATGTGGGATGTTACAATTCACCCCCCTTAGGGGCCCGACGTCCTTGTCGGCACATATCAGGCCAAGGATTGGCTCTGATACCAATTGTCACATCCCGGCCCGGGACGATGTGGGATGTTACATTTTTGCCTCAAGAATGAGCTTCCCATCATTAGTTGAAGTTGACTAGTACAAAAGCTAAAACAATTATATTTACACTTAGGAATGAGACTTCAGAAAATCTAATTCAAATTATTTGTTTCAGGTACATCAAATATGCCATCAAACTTTTTAAAAGGATAAAAAATTTGATCCAAGTGAACAAAAGACCAAATTACAAAACAAGCGTCAATCTTATATCCTTATACATTTGGACATCGTTCAATCAACTCTCAAATGACTAAATACATAATGGAGCCTGCACAAGAGAAAGTAAACTAATACCCAGTGATTAATTTAATTTGAAGAAGGATGTTACTTAACTTTTAAATTAATTTGATTGGTAAAAGAGTAGATTCTTTGGAACTTACAAGTACCGAATAAGAATCAATCTAACCCAACTCAACACAAACTAAGCTTCCCTATTTACTAATTCTTCTAAAACTATACAAACTGATTCTATTAAAAATATATATAAATTCAATTTTTTTTAAAAGTATTGAAGTCAATTATATTGCATATTTTTTCTAAAACAATATTGAAGTCAATTAAGTTGCATACATTTTTTTTAAAAAGTAGAAAAGTATACAAAACTGATTTTACATGTATTTGAAATTGATTATGCAAAAATGGTCGAAGACGGTTTGAACTAATTTTGCAAAAATGGTCGATGACGGGTTAAATTGATTATTCAAATATGGTCGAAGACAAGTTAAACTAATTGTGCAAAAATGGTCAAGAACGAGGTTGAACTGATTTTGCAAAAATGGTCGAAAACAAGTTGAACTGATTTTGCAAATGGTTGATGACGGGTTGAACTGATTTTGCAAAAAAGGCTGGTTAAACTGATTCTACAAATGGTCAAGGATGAGTTGAACTGATTCTGCAAAAATGGTCAAAGACGGGTTGAATTGATTCTGAAAAAAATTGTTGAGGATGGATTGAACTGATTCTGAAAAAATGGTCAAGGACATGTTGAACTGATTCTACAAAAATTGTCGAAGATATGTTGAACTGATTTTGCAAAAATGGTTGAAGACGAATTGAACTGATTCTGGAAAAATGGTTTATGACTGATTGAACCGATTATAGTAATAAATTATACAAACTTATACTACATATAGTTTCAAAACTTGTTCTACGTCAATAGTAGATGATTGGTTGAGCTTATGACACATATTAATTTTGTTGGAGTTGTGAGGGTTGGGTTCTATTAAAAGCCTAAAATCTTAGGAGTATGGTTGGTATTTTAAAACATTGTTTTCATGTTTTTGAGCTGGGCTTAATTGTTTTGATACTTTTGTCTCTTCTTGACATGTTTAAAAACTTGTAGAGTTCATTGAAATATAGTAAAAATTGTTGTCTCTATATATAAAGCTCCCATATTTAACCTCTTTGTTTGAAAATGAAATAATGCGCTAGTTGATGAGAGATTTTTTAGTGTGGCCATAATACGGACACACAAGTCACATGTCATTATTCAAGTGGAGGGGACACCTGAAAAGAAACTATCCTCCAATTGTATAATAATATTTGGCGTATCGCTCCCTATTCCAAGCATATTGAAAGTCTCTTTTGTCACATCCCGGCCTGGGGTGGATCACTTCCCAGGCCCACTCCACCACCGTAGCACGATATTGTCCGCTTTGGACTTACCATTCCCTCACGGTTTTGTTTTTGGGAACTCACGAGCAACTTCCCAGTGGGTCACCCATCCTGGAAGTGCTCTGACCTCCTTCTCGCTTAACTTCGGAGTTCCTACGGAACCCGAAGCCAGTGAGCTCCCAAAAGGCCTCGTGCTAGGTAGGGATGAGAATATACATTTAAGGATCACTTCTCTGGGCGATGTGGGATGTCACATCTTTTATTTGAGCCCATACACTCTTAAAATCGAGCTTCGTAATTCAAAATTCGAGCAATTTACATCCTCCGAATCTTGTAAATTAATTTTGGGGTCGGCATTTCAATTCTCCACGACTTATAAATGTTTTGTCCTCGATATTTACAATATGTTGCGTTGCTTATATTTTAAAAACCCCAGACATGGGGTTAATTGAAAATCCCAAATATTGAACGGGAGTTAAATAAATGATTAAAAAGAACTGAATCAGGATTGAGAAATAGTTTACTTAAAACGATGAGGAACTTTGGTGGGCTGAAATAAATCGAAGATTGATTTTAATAAGATGTTAGTCAAATACAGAATTAGAGTTACTCAAAATACAAGTATAATTTATATTGTTGGCAATGCCGTGTCATCTCACAAACCATCTATTCGTGATCATCTGCATAGAAAAATATGCCGTGGTAGGGGTGAGCAAAACGTATGACATTACTCCTCCTCAGGGTCACCCCGTTTTATTATAAAAAAATAAAACAAATAAATATGAGTACACCCCTTGGAATTCAATTTTCTTTAACCAAAATCCATCACGGTAAATTTCTCCAACAAAAACCCAATTACTAGGCTCCAACTAAGCAATATCTATAATTAAGTTTCCCTTGGCAAAATTTGTATTTTTGGATGTCTAAATTACCCCTAATAACACTTACTTTGGGTCTCTCACGTATTATATACATTTATTTTACATTATTTCATTCAATTAAATGTCTTCAAAAACCTTATGGGATTTGGAAAAAAAATTTAAATGTCATGATTTCTATGCATTTAATAACAAAAATTTACATGATACCAATGTTCCTTATATAGTTGTTTTCACATGATGCTAACAGGTAAATTAGTATATTCTACAAATAAATAAATAAAATTATTCAAAATTATTAATTTTTTAAATATAACATAGGTGAATTATTTTGCACAACATATATATAATAACAATATAAGTTCCTAGTAAATTATGTAATGATACATGCAAAATAATTTACCTACAAAATAAATAAATATTTTTTATTCAAAATTAATTAAATACCAATATTTTGCAATATATATATAAAACAATTTACCTACATGCAAACTAATTTACCTACAAAATAAAAGAATGTCGATTGATTGCACACTATATAATAATAACAAAATGTGGCTAATATATATGTAATATCATATGAAAAATAATTTACCTACAAAATAAATAAATGTTTTTAGCCAATTGATTCAAAATTAATTAATTACATATTATTTTACATAAAAATATAGATAAATTATTTGCACGCATATATATAATTTTAATAAAATATGCCTAATACATACATGCAAAATAATTTACCTAAACAAATAAAAGAAATGAAAGATATGATGGTAAGAGAAGTATAAAGTAGATAATTTTATAATAATAAGACACTTATTTCCCACAATTATGGTGGATAATTAAATTCATTAACATAATTAGAGTGTTGTGGCACAATCGTAAATAGTTTGAAAATAATAGGTATTTATTTGTTTACATGGCAGTCTACTTCAAATTTGGGTTTTATTTAGATGTTTAAATGAGATGGATTTTTGTCGAGAAAATAAGTGTTGAATGAGCTTATATCTAAAGAACCCTAATATTTATCATATGACATTTGAGTTAAAATCTCAAATCATGATCGAATCTCTATCGATCAGTTCAAGCTAGTGGCACGCGATTGCTCTAACGTCACTATATCCAACACTACCTGATGACCAAGTAAAACATAGTAACTACCAGGCTATAAAGCGGCAAGGTGCACACAAGACATATTGCATTCTTGCAAAATATTCGAACAATAAGCGATCATCACTACAGGCAATACGTGTGAAACATTTAGAAAAATCAATAACCCCATCCAAATACAATTTCGTAATCATGGCCAATATCAACTTAACTCCAAGGCCAAATACTACACAAATACGATTTGAATGAAAACCATTCCGTACAAAACATTTATAAAAAATAGTACAGGGAAAACTAATGAGCCAAGTGAAAAAACCTCATACCTCGACTCTGAGCAAAACTCGTAACTTTATCATAGTCCACACAATGTAAACATCAGATTAGAAAGATTGTCTCACTCCCAAAATCTCTTCATAATCTTATAGATTAGGTTCTGTTTGGGCCCAAAATGATGGTTTGGGCCGAGTTTTATTCTTGGCC